TTGCCATAGCAGCAGGCCAAGATCAGTGGTGTTAGGGGTGAGGTTAGCAATGAATAGAGGTTGTTTTGATGGGAGAATACCCTTTGTAGAGGTAACTTTCTGGCACAGAATTGACCCATGGGAAATAGAAAAGATCTGAGGACAAGAGGTTCTTGGCTGACTGCACAATGAGGGATCAGCTGGATGGATGTGTTTTAGGAAAAGCAAGGGACACCCCCCTTCAAAGTAGGGGAGAGTATAGGAAGGGAGAGAAGCTTGAACCAGAATCAAGAACCAGAAGCCTTGATACCATGGGTATAAATTAGATTTTCTTCATTATTTGTCTTTCTGATTTCTTCCTGAGGGCTCATTTTTATTCACCTGCCTAGGGAGGGAGCTATGAATGTATGAAGTTGCCGTGTGATAACACATGTGATAACACCCATGGTTTTGGTCTCTGAGTTTCCCATAGAGCATGAAGGAGGCTGATTTCAGGCCTGGGTTGGGACATGGATGATATCCGTGGAGATCCTTCCTTTTGTCCATTCCCAGCTGGACAGGCCTTTTAATGCCATTGTACTTGGAACTCCCCAGATGTAGGTGCTGGTCACTTAGGAGCATTCTTTCCAGGCCTAGTGTCCCTTCCAGCAATGCTTCTCAGTGTTGTTTCTGGTCAGCTCTAAGTTCATTCTTGGATGGGTTTCGTTTTTCTCTTTCCTCAGCCCTTCAAAGCAGGGTTCTTGGTCTAGGCTGCACACTTAGAGCTTTAGACAAATTCCCAGGCACTTACTTGCATGATGGGCAGGTGAATATTTTTATCAGCTTCCAGGTGACCCCAATGTGAAGTCATCGTTGAACCCCACTGGTTTAGATGGTATAAAATGGAGAAGAGTTGTCAAGAACTCCACATGTGGACTAGATCACTTCACTAGCTTCCCCTTCATTTTCTGTAAATTGAGGAAGCTGTGACTTCAGGAGTGAGTGTTCATCTGGTTGAGAGTGAAGAGAATCCATATAAATTGGGCACCTCAGGGTGGAAGAAAATCAGAGGAAGTCTTACCCTAGGTCTGAACAAAGCTGAGGGTGATGGCTAGTACTTTTGAAAGGATGCTTTCAAGAGTGTGGCCCTCTTTCCCTTTGCCGGACATCTCCGCCTCCCCTCAACCTGCTTTTACCCGGTCTGTTCACCCGGTCTCACCATGCCCATCCCTCCTCAGGAGGCATTTCCTGACCTAGGGACGACATTTTTATGTTGTGCAGCCATCATTACTTTCTAGTTCCAGACATTTTCATCACCCCAAAGGGAGACCCTATACCCATTTAGAGTTACTCCTTAAATTCTCCTTCCCCAGCCCCTGGCAACTACTAATCTGTTTTCTGTCTCTGGATTTACCTATTACGGATATTTCATGTGAGCAGATATAACCAAGAGTGCTTTAAAGATTAAATCAACTGTGTAAGGGGCTTGATTCCAGCACAAATGGATTTCTCCAGTCCTTGTTAGCTAGAGTTGAATAAGCATTGGAAAGGGAAATGCTGGCACCATCCCTGGTTAAGCCATCTGACACCTGTACAGTAAGTCCCCTACATATGGATGAGTTCTGTTCTGCTCTAGTATGCTCATAAGTCCAATTCACTCATGAGTCCAAAAAAGTTAACTTAGGTACCCAACTAATACAATTGGCTATATAATACTGTAATCAGTTTATAATATTTTTTATATAAATAATACATAAAAACAAATAAGCACAAAAGATTAAGAAAACATTTTCAACCTTACAGTACAGTACTTGGAAAAGTACAGTCGTACCAGCTACATCACCAACTGTTTTTGCCCTTGCTTCCAGACATCTTGGGCTTGAAATAAAGATACCATACTACTGTACTCTATACAGTTCTATACAGTAAAGTACACAAAAGCACAACCATTTGTAGAGGATGCATGCTTGTGACAATGTATGCCAGATATGTGAACTAACTTACATGATTAGACATGCGAATGCACATTCAAATCTTTGAAAGTGTGTAACTTGAAGGTTCCGATGTAGGGGACTCACTGTAGATGGTTTCACAGTGCCCCATCCGGTGGGTCAGGGTTAACATCACACTCTCTGTGCCCACATGGAAGGCAAACCAAGAAGGAGGTCATCTTCCCTATTCTGCATTTCTCAGAAAAGGACCCTTCCTGCAAGAAAGACTACGTCTAAACCGTCATCACTTATCAATCAGGGGTGTAGGAGAATCTGTTCCCTGGAGTGGTGAAGGATTTCAGGTTTTCGTCCTCCTTCAATGTGAAAAAACAAGATAGTCTTGAAAAGAAGTAGACAGTGAGAGTCTGTATTTAGAATAACAGGACAGTCTCGAACTCCCCCCAGGTTTCCTTCTATAAGTTGTACAAAAGGAACCCTCTCCTTAACTTTCTCCTCTGAGTGGTTCTCTCCCTGTCTTCTCTTTCTTGACTAATTTTTTTTTCCACATTGAAGAAGATCCTCCTATATCTTTCAGGATATTTAGATAATCAGAGGAGATGTCCCAGGTTGATGTATGCAAATACCCTAAAAATGGAGGAAGGTGGTGGCAGAACTGCTTTTAAGCCAGTCCTCCAAATAGATGACTCAGTCTTAGCCCTCAAAACCCCAGGCCTGCTCCTTTTAGATTTCTGCTAGTAAGCTTGGAGACACAGATCCTTACACTCCTATGTCTGTGTCTCCCAGGAAGCCATGGAGTGTCAAAGGCCTTTGGAAAAACTTTCATCAGTGTAGAGATGAGAATTATAGTTAAACTTGTACCAGAAAGAAGAGATCATGGTGATTTTAATCTAATATGTCATTTGCTATTTTAAGTTGTGATTTGATGACTATTTTATATGCCCTACTGTGCTTTTTAGTGTTATGAGACCTTAATGAAGCATTTGAATCTTAAACAACTTGTAGCTACTTGGGTTCTGTCCAGAACACAGTGAAACGACCTGTTTGCTATAATCTGGGCTGTCCAGATTATACCATAGCAACTGATTCAGACTGTCAGATCAGATCTCATTTTGTTTTCAAAAATGCAGGATCTAGTGCAGGAGCCTCAGCAAGAATGCAGGTCTCCCCATGTTGAGCCTGTGTGGTTAATGAACAACCATGACATCCAGAATGTCACCTGCTTGATTTAGCCTCTTTCCAGAGTTTTGTCATTAACATTTCAGTTACCTTCTGGCTTTGTGTCATCAATAAGAATTCACTTGTGCAACTTAATTCACTGCATTAAAAGGTTGGCTAGCAGAAAATAAAGGTTGAACCTAATAATGTTGTTAATAATAATCACAAATAGTAATCAGCACTAGTTAGTGACACCTCTCTGCACAGGTATCTCCCCACTCTCTCTTGTGAAGGGAAACTATCTTCATCCTGAAATTCACAGCATCCTGCCTCTTCAGCTTCTACCTATCTCCTTCACCCAGCCTGTGAAACTTATCCTCAGGGTCCACTAGAAATCCTATAATTTTTCATCCAGTTAAATCAGTAATACAGATATGTGCCATCTTTCCATCTTTTTACTTCTTTAGATAAAACAAACAAAAAAAAAGAAACCAACCAGAAATCAAGACAAAAGATTTAGAACAGTACTATCCTTTAAAGTCTTTTTTAGATTACTCTGTTGTCTTAGTTTGTTTGCAGTGATCTCATCTCCTGATGATTGATTGTCTTGTCTCTCTAGCCTTAATGGGATTTTTGGTGTTATGGAATTTTAGTGTGCATGTTTATCTTAACAGAGAGTATCCCTCCAGCCCCTGACCAACAGCACATGTGCGCACACACACATGCACACACACACTCACACACGCACAAATCCCACCCAACTGCTGTCTGTTTCACTTCCTCTTGCTCCCCATGGTTTGTGTCACTAGCAGAGAGCTCCTGACTGTGATTGAATGGGGCCCCACATTCCAGGGCAGCATTTCCAGCCCCACTTGCTCTGTATTTCAGGTATCTTTAGTCTCTGTTTTCCCTCTTGAATTCGAACCTGGGATGGTTTCTTCCTGCTTCTGCCCTGGGTGCAGTGGGATAGAGCCTTCAGCAACACTCAGCCTTGTTATTTTTGTTCTGTTCAGACCAGTGATTAGCTTGTTTGTGAGGATGTCTCTGTTTTGTCACACACTTTCTTTTTCTCATTTCCTTATTGTGGCTTGTGCTTGATGGTGTGGTAGGAAAGAGGATGGACTTTTGAGCATGAATTTGCTTAATAAATTAGTGAGATTAGATTAGATTTAGTGCTTGCAGAGAGAATGTGATCCTCATTATTTGCAGATTCCGTATTTTCAAGTTTACTGATAACCTAAAATGTATTTATAACCCCAAAATCAATTCTCACGGCATCCATAGACATGCCTACAAGCAGTCAAAATTTTGAGCTGCTGATGCACATGTTCCCTGATGAGCTTGTACAAAACAACACTCTGTCTAATGCCCCAGCTCATACTGTAAACAAATGTCCTTTTCATGGTCTGTTTAGTCCCATGTATTTGCATTTTTGTGCTTTTTGTTGGTGATTGGCTATTTAAAATGCTCCCAATAATGGTGCTGAAGTGCTTGCTATCTGGTGCCCGTAAGCACAAGATGTGCCTTAAGGGGAAAGCATGTGTGTTAGATAAGCTTCTTTCAGACCAAGTTGTAGGGCTGTTGGTTGTGAGCCCAATGTTAATGAATCAACAGTACTTATTAAATAAAGTGTCTTTAAACTGAAGCACACTAAAATGAGGTTCTTTATTGATCAGTTGGTCAGAGTGCTGTGAGCAGAGGCAATCAGGAATCTAACCCTGTTTCTTCAGGAGCAGCCCGTTCCCTATTTGCTCCTTCAGTGTTTTAGGCAACATTCTAGAATATAATTACCCCCATTAAGCCAATAAGGAGAATGGAAGGTTGGTTTGTCAAAGTCAGAACCTCCCCCAAGCAGTTCCTAGAAGGCGACCCAGGGAAGCCCTTTCTCCCCGTTCTCACTGACATTTGCTCTTCTTTGACTCTTCTCCTTTGCAGGGTACTTTCTGAATTTTCTGGAGCCAGTTAACAACATCACCATCGTTCAAGGCCAGACAGCGATTCTGCACTGCAAGGTGGCCGGAAACCCGCCACCCAGTGTGCGGTGGCTGAAGAATGACGCCCCAGTGGTGCAGGAGCCGCGGCGCGTCATCATCCGCAAGACGGAGTACGGTTCCCGGCTGCGGATCCAGGACCTGGACACGACGGACACCGGCTACTACCAGTGCGTGGCCACCAACGGGGTGAAGACCATCACTGCCACAGGGGTCTTGTTTGTGCGACTTGGTGAGTGGGCACGGCTCCAGGCCCGTTGCTCATCAAATAGGAAGGTCCCCAGCCACTGAGCACAGATTAATGTGCAGTTCGAAACAACACACACAAGCAACAGAGAGGAAATCAATAAAACCCTTCCCCGAGGCCTTTCCCATTGTGCATGAGGTCCCCAGCCTAACCTGTTACCCATTTACTAGTAGTAAAAGAAAATAGACACAGATGGAGGGGTCTATAAACCTGGAGCGCAGAAAATAATGCCAGACATGTTGCGTGTCAGGAGGTCACCCCTGCGGGGGAGGCCCAGGCGATCCAGACTGGCACCCACCCACCCAGGGAAACCCAACCCAGCCCAGAGGATGGGTGGGGAACAGCAGGTGAGGACGATTCTGTACTCTTGTGCTTATCACAGGTGATGCAAAGCAATCAACTGGCAGACAGAAATGTATCCCTTTTATCCTAGTTATGAGGAGGTCCCTACAATGCCCCAGCCATTTTGTCACCAGTGAGTAAGACAGATCTTGTGAACCAAGGTTAGATGAGAAGAAAGAAAAGACAGCAAAAATTCACAAAATATCTCCCGCTGTTTCTGCATCAGCAGAGAGCACCCCTTCCATCCTCAGTGGTTTTTGCCATCCCTGGCATATAATCTTGGGCAGGGGCAGAGCTGGAGGCTGAAGATGGCTCACCACAAATGAGTACCCTGGGCCGCGGTTGCCTTTACCACGGGCCAGATTGGAAAAAAAATTTATTCCAAATCATGAAGTATTAATAACTTGTCTTTTTTTTTTTTCCTTTTAGGTCCAACACACAGCCCAAATCATAACTTTCAGTAAGTATCTGCTTTCCTCAAACCATTTTCTCATTCTTTGTGGGCTTCCGTTATGTAAGAATCCAGGCTATAAATTGGGCAAACATATGTCTTTGCTGAATTTGCTAGAAGTTGGCTAGACTTCACACAGGGATGGCAATGTGCTTGCTTTGGACTGGAAAACGGTTGTATTTTCCATGTTGAGTGTTAGGGAAAAAGCCATAAAAGCACTGATAGTTGCTTTCAGAGATTATGACCTTACAGGACAGCAGGAGGCAGAGTAAGTGTACAGACCATTCTGCTGGGTCTGCCAGGACCCTGATGTCCCAAGAACATTTGCAACAGGGAAGTGGGTGCGTGTGTGCTAAGTCACTTCAGTTGTGTCCAACTCTTTGCAACCCCATGGACTGTAGCCCGCCAGGCTCCTGTGTCCATGTGATTCTCCAGGCAAGAATACTGCAGTGGATTGGCATGCCCTCCTCCAGGGGATCTTCCCAGCCCAGGGATTGAACCCATGTCGCTTACATCTCCTGTATTGACAGGTGGGTTTTTTACCACTAGTGCCACCTGGGAAGCCCAAACAGGGAGGTAGTTACCGTGAAATCTCAACACCACCCATAATTGCATCACCAGCTATAGTCTATGGAATGTATGCTCATGGAGCCTTGGGGACCCTCCACCATGGGGTGGGGGGGGGGCGATCTTAGACCCACTTCAGAGATGAGGAAACTGAGGCTCAGAACCCGGCTTACTAGTCTTCACCTAGCTGCTGGCAAGTTCTGGCTGTGAACTCAGGCCTCTCTTTTGCTGATGCAGCATCTTTTCTCCTCTGGACCTTACAGGTCCATGATAATCACTCTTTTCAGCCCCTGTGTTTGAGGTTAGCAGTGGCTGTGGATTCCTCATTTCCTGGACAGGCTGTTGCTTCATGTCCCAAAGTTCTGAGCAGTGGCACAGACCAGACACTGTGTTGGTCAGCCAAGCAGTGTCTGCTTATCCGTGTCCCCCTGCAGCCTCATAAACACTGGCCATCGCGCTGAGGTAGGGAAACACACCGTCTCACTTTTGTTCACTTTTTCACATAAATTAATATTGAACTTGACATGTTTAATTAACAGTGTCAATGTGTTTTACATTTCCCTGATGGTCTTTCTCCTGCTCTCTGTCTGCAGGAATTCCTGTTGTTTCCCATATCCACAGTGGCCGCTTTGTTAGGCTGGTGGATGGTTTCTCTAGGGGAGATTCTGGGGAGTAGGACAGGCGGGGACACAGGAGGCACCTCTTATAAGAGAAAAGCTGCCAGTGGTGGGTGGATGGGGGCGGGCACGAAGGTCATATCCCTGCCACAGTGTGAGGACCCATTTCTCTTATATTCCAAGATGATTCTCACATCCATTCATTTCTGCTGCTCGGAAGGAGGAAAACTGATACTGGCTGCTTTGTTCTCCCTTTCTGTCACCAGTGAGGCCGTGATAGACATTTCCTAGCGCTTCTTTGTCAGCTGGTTCTTCATAGTCTTTGCCCGTGATCCTCACATTGTTTGTTTCTTAATTATTTTTAATAATTATATCTTATTTCTTGCTGGAGAGGATGTAGAGGAAATGGAATCCTCCTACACTGCTGGTGGGAATGTAAACTGGTACAGCCACTATGGAGAACAGTATGGAGGTTCCTTAAAAACTAACAACAGTTACCATATCATTCTGCAATCCCACTCCTGGGTGTATATTCAGAGAAAACCATAATTTGAAAAAAGACACCTGCACCCCTGTGTTCATAGCAGCACTATTTGTAATAGCCAAGACATGGAAGAAGCCTAAATGTCCACTGACAGATGAATGGATAAGAAGATGTGTGGTATATATACAATGGAATTAATCAGCTCTAAAAATAAATGAAACACTGTCATTTGCGGCAACATGGATGAACCTAGAGATTATCATATTAAGTGAAGTAATTCTGACAAATACCAAATGATATCACTATATGTGAAACCAAAAAAGATGATACAAATGAACTTATTTACAAAACTTATTTACATAACGAATAGACTTATGATTATCAAAGTGGATAATGGGGTAGAGAGGGTAGAGATAAATTAGGAGTTTCAGATTAACAGATATACACTACTATATATAAAATAGGTAAACAAGGCCCTACTGTATAGCACAGGGAACTATACTCAATATTTTGTAATAACCTATAAGGGAAAAGCATCTGAAAAAGAACATATATGTGTAACTGAATTGCTTTGCTGTACACTTGAAACTTACAGAAATTGTAAATTAAGTATATTTCAATAAAAAAGAAGTGATTAAAACATTGAAAAAATAAAAATCATAGAAACTGATGACAAAAATTAATGTCTTATTTCTTGATTATGTAGAAGTTAATATTTTTCTGTCATCTAATAATTGCCAGTAATTATATGGGTGTTTATGTTGTCTTGTTAAAGAACACACTGATTTCCTTGAAGAATTCTGATGTTATTTTGATTAGAATTACAATGAATTTTTAGATAAGTTAGGTTGAAAATTAATATCTAAATCAAATTGTCCTATGAAGGACCACTTTCTTTGTGTTTTAAGATATTCTTTTCCATGACATTTTATTATGAAAAATTCAACCACATGAAAAAGTAGAAAGAATTTTATGGTGAACATCCAATCCATATACCTGCCAATGAGATCCTGCCAGTTACATTTTACTGTGCTAGCCTATGTTTACATATATTTCCATTCATCAGTCATCTAAATTTTTATTCATTTCAATAAGTTGCAGATATTTGTACACTTATCCTGAAATATTTTACATACCATTATGGATTATGATATCACTTAGAGATATGGAAATCATTAACAAGAATTCAATATCTGTGTACTTAGTATTCTCATCTCTTCTTTTTGAGTTAAAACTTGCATACAATGAAATGCACAGATCTTATGTATTCTATTAATAAGCTCCAAAAATGCAAAAACCTCTGCACTCTAAACCCTTATCCAGGCACAGAACATTCCTATTATTCTAGAAAGTTCCAAGATGCAACTTCTTAATCATTACTCCCCCACCCCAGGCAATGACTGTCCTGACTTTTTTTCTACCATGAGCTAGCTTTACATGTTTTAGAACTGCATAGACATGAAATCCTGCAGCACGTAGACACTTGAATCTGGTTTCCTTCGATTCAGTTCAGTTCAGTCACTCAGTCGTGTCCAACTCTTTGTGATCCCATGAACCGCAGCACGCCAGGCCTCCCTGTCTATCACCAACTTCTAGAGTTTACCCAAACTCATGTCCATTGAGTCGTTACTGCCATCCAACCATCTCATCCTCTGTCATCCCCTTCTCTTCCTGCCCTCAATCTTTCCCAACATCAGGGTCTTTTCAGATAAGTCAGATCTTTGCATCAGGTGGCCAAAATATTGGAGTTTCAGCTTCAACATTAGTCCTTCCAATGAACACCCAGGACTGATTTCCTTTAGGACGGACTGATTGGAACTCCTTGCAGTCCAGGGGACTCTCAAGAGTCTTCTCCAACACCACGTTTCAAAAGCATCAATTCTGCGATCAATTTTCTTTATGTGGCCTTGACTAGATGGACCTTTGTTGACAAAGTAATGTCTCTGCTTTTTAATATGCTGTCTAGGTTGGTTATAACTTTCCTTCCAAGGAGTAAGCGTCTTTTAATTTCCTGACTGCAATCACATCTGCAGTGATTTTGGAGCCCCCAAAAATAAAGTCTTGACACTGTTTCCACTGTCTCCCCATCTATTTCCCATGAGGTGATGGGACCAGATGCCATGATCTTAGTTTTCTGAATGTTGGGTTTTAAGCCAACTTTTTCACCCTCTTCTTTCACTTTCATCAAGAGGCTCTTTTGTTCTTCTTCACTTTCTGCCATATCTGAGGTTATTGATATTTCTCCCGGCAATCTTGATTCCAGCTTGTACCTCATCCAGCCCAGCATTTCTCATGATGTACTCTGCATATAAGTTAAATAAGCAGGGTGACAATATACAGCCTTGACGTACTCCTTTTTTGATTTGGAACCAGTCCGTTGTTCCATGTCCAGTTCTAACTGTTGCTTCCTGACCTGCATGCAGATTTCTCAGGAGGCAGCTAAGATGGTCTGGTATTCATGTTTTTATGGAACCCTCTTGCTTTTTTGATGATCCAGCAGATGTTGGCAATTTCATCTCTGGTTCCTCTGTCTTTTCTAAAACCAGCTTGAACATCTGGAAGTTCATGGTTCATGTATTGCTGAAGCCTGGTTTGGAGAATTTTGTGCATTACTTTACTAGCATGTGAGATGAGTACAATTGTGCAGTAGTTTGAGCATTCTTTGGCATTGCCTTTCTTTGGGATTGGAATGAAAACTGACCTTTTCCAGTCTTGTGGCCACTGCTGAGTTTTCCAAATTTGCTGACTTGTTGAGCTCAGCACTTTCACAGCATTCACCTTTCAGGATTTGAAATAGCTCAACTGGAATTCCATCACCTCCACTAGCTTTGTTTGTAGTGATTCTGCCTAAGGCCCACTTGGCTTCACATTCCAGGATGTCTTGCTCTAGGTTAGTGATCACAGCATTGTGATTATCTGGGTCATGAAGATCTTTTTTGTACAGTTCTTCTGTGTATTCTTGCCACCTCTTCTTAATATCCTCTGCTTCTGTTAGGTCCATACCATTTCTGTCCTTAACTGTGCCCATCTTTGCATGAAGTGTTCCCTTGGTATCTCTAATTTTCTTGAAGAGATCTCTAGTCTTTCCCATTCTATTGTTTTCCTCTATTTCTTTGCATTGATCGCTGAGGAAGGCTTTCTTATCTCTCCTTGCTATTCTTTGGAACTCTGTATTCAAATGGGTGTATCTTTCCTTTTCTCCTTTGCTTTTCACTTCTCTTCTTTTCTCAGCTAGTTGTAAGGCCTCCTCAGACAGGCATTTTGACTTTTTGCATTTGTTTTTCATGGGAATGGTCTTGATTCTGCTCTCCTGTACAATATCACAAACCTCCATTCATAGT